GGAGAGAAAGAAATGGAGTTGAAGCTAGGCAACATGATCTACCTGCAATAATACAATGTCATCGTGGCTGATATAATGGACGACTGCATCCTGAGCCTAGAATTCATGAGGAAGAATTGTTGTGCGATTGACGTTAAGCAAGGTGTCTTGAAATGTGGACAAGAGGAACTTTTTGTGGAAGGAGCGTTACCAGGGAACGTGTACAGCCTTGAGAAGATTGTTCTTCCGCCGAGATCGGAAACGATTGTGGCGGTTAGTCTTCCTCGGAATTCTGGGCAACCTCATCGTTGTGTACTCGTGGAAAGGTTAGAAAATGACCTTCCATGGAAAGTGGCTCGAACCTTGGTCAGAACCACTAACATCTCAGGAGTACGTGTGCTGAAACTTTGTGGCCAGGAACAGATTATAGAAAAAGGCACACTGGTTGCTACTTGTGAGGAAGTGGATTGGTTACGTCGGTGCCAATATCTATCGACTGGGACCCCCAGCAAGGATGCACAAACGAGAGTGAGCACACTTTTAGAAGACTGTCGCAGCGTTCTCTCCCCGAATGAAATGGACAAAGCGAAGAAGTTGTTACTCAAGTATGCCGATGTATTCTCATCAAACGATGCTGACATAGGAAAGACTGGCTTAGTTCAACACAAAATAAACACAGGTGAAGAATTGCCTATCCGTCAGCGGCCAAGAAGATTGCCGGTAGCACGTGAAAAGGAAGTGGAAACCATGATTGAGGGAATGGTGAAGGATGGTGTTATTGAACCTTCATCTAGTCCATGGTGTTCACCCGTGGTACTGGTAAAGAAGAAGGATGGCAGCATGCGGTTTTGTGTTGACTACCGCCATCTGAACGACGTTACGAAGAATGACAGCTATCCCTTGCCAAGAATTGATGACACGCTGGACATGCTTACATGAGTAAAGTGGTTTAGCACGCTGGATCTAAAAAGTGGCTACTGGCAAGTTGAAATTGACCCTAAAGACAAGAAGAAAACTGCGTTCTCGACGGGAAAGGGTCTGTGGCAATTTAAAGTAATGCCGTTTGGGTTGTGCAATGCTCCAGCAACGTTTGAAAGGCTGATGGAACTTGTACTTACCGGGCTAATTGGCGATGCCTGTCTGGTCTACTTGGATGACATCATCATCGTGGGCCGTACGTTTGAGGAACAACTTCAAAACCTGGAACGCGTGCTCATGAAAATTCAGAGTGCCAACCTCAAGTTGAGTCCGAAGAAATGTTCAATATTCAAACGGCAAGTCAACTTTTTGGGGTATGTAATGTCGGAAAAAGGTATCCGCACGGATCCAGAGAAAATCGCAGCTGTAAAGGATTGGCCGGTTCCAAAAGACAAGACGCAGGTTAGAGCATTTTTGGGTTTGTGCTCCTATTACCGGCGATTTGTGAAGAACTTTGCAGATATAGCCAAACCTCTGCATAAGCTAACCGAGGAGAGGCGACATTTCTCCTGGGATGAAAGTTGCAATATCGCATTCCAGGAGCTCAAGGACCGTCTGTGCAAAACATCTATTTTGGGATACCCTGATGCAAGCAAAGAATTTATAGTTGACAAAGACGCAAGTGATATAGAACTTGGCGGTGTGTTGTCTCAACGGAATGGTGACCAAGAGGTCGTGATAGCGTACTTCAGCAAGTCGTTGTCAAAACCGGAAAGGAACTATTGTGTCACAAGACGCGAATTGCTAGCTGTGGTAAAGTCGTTGCAGCATTTTAGCAAATATCTTCTGGGGCGAAAATTTCACTTACGAACTGACCATGCTGCACTAAAATGGCTATTGCAGTTTAAAAATCCAGAAGGACAAGTTGCGAGGTGGATTGAACTACTGCAGGAATACGACTTTGAGATCGAACATCGCAGCGGGAAATCTCATGGCAACGCAGATGCATTGTCAAGAAGACCTTGTCCTGAAGATTGCAAACATTGTACTAGGCAAGAGAGTAAGGAAGTGGTATCCGTGAGGATGCTCAGGGCAGACCACCTCAGCAACGAGTGGAAGGACTGCTTACAACGTGCACAGCAGGAAGATCCGGACATCAAGCCGATCCTGGAATGGATGAAGGCCAGTGCTCCCAAGCCCAAGTGGAGCGACGTCTCAGCGATGAGTTCGACCACTAAAAGCTATTGGGCCCAGTGGGACAGCTTGCTGCTTCAGGATGGAGTTCTGTGCCGTAAATGGGAAAATGTTCGGGGAGACAGCTGTCATTTACAAATGGTTCTCCCTAAAGCTAAAGTACCGGATGTTCTACAGCTGTACCATAATGATTATTCAGGAGGCCATCTGGGAGTTAAACGAACTCTACTGAAGATCCGAGAACGGTTTTACTGGGTCCACTGTCGAAACGATATCGAGGACTGGTGTCGCAAATGTACAAGTGTGCGGCTGTAAAGGGACCTCAGACTAGTAGTAGAGGTGCATTGAAGTTGTACAATGTTGGTGCACCATGGGAGAGAATAGCCATTGACGTGGCGGGGCCGTTTCCGTAGAGTTAAAGCGGTAAAAAGTATTTCATGGTTGTGATGGATTACTTCACTAAGTGGCCAGAAGTCTTCGCCATTCCAAATCAAGAAGCTTCAACAGTTGCAGATAAACTAGTTCATGAAGTCTTCTGTCGTTTTGGAGTACCTTTAGAGATTCACAGCGATCAAGGAAGGAATTTTGAGTCTCAAATATTCCAAGAAACTTGCCGAGTTATGGGTACTCATAAAACAAGAACGACTTCTTATCACCCGCAATCTGATGGAATGGTAGAACGATTTAATCAGACATTGGAGAGGTACCTAGCAAAAGTTGTAGACAATCGGCAACGAGATTGGGACAAGCACATACAACCGTTTTTGTTGTCATATCGAAGCGCTGTTCACGAAAGTACATCAGTGACACCAGCTTTCGCAAACTTTGGGAGAGAATTACGGCTGCCTGCGGACCTGATCACCGGGATACCACCTGATACTCCACGCAGTATAACCGATTATGCAAATGACTTGCGGAACAAAATGAATGACGTTTATGAGCACGTCAGACAATCGGGCCAGCAAATGTCTGAAAAGATGAAAACCCGGTACGACCGCAAAATGAACAACAAAGCCGGTTCACTTGTGTGGTTGCACAATCCAGTCCGCAGCAAAGGGAAATCTCCTAAGCTTCAAGCTAAATGGGACGGCCCGTACCGATTGTGACCAAGATCAACGATGTAACCTACCGGATACAGAAAAGCGCAAGAGGGACTCCTAAGATTGTCCATGTGGATCGCCTGGCGCATTATTATGGGGCCGATAATGCTCGGGACGAGCATGTCTTAGGAGGGGGCAGTGTTACGCGCTCAAGTCGACGGCACTAGCGCCATCTAGTCTCGAACCGAAGAACTAAACTTCTTGAAGTTGAAACACGAACTCTCGGTATTTTGCGCGTGTTTACTTGAATATTCTGATATTTCGCTGCTAATTTATATAAATAGGCGCTGCAAGATGCGATCAGGGAAGATTGAAGTTGGCGAGACAAGCGAAGCTTCGGAGCGGAATAAAGTGAATCAGTGCGATTAATTATTAGTGTTTTTAACTTTAATTAGTGTAAAGTAAATTATAGTGTTAATTTAGGTAATTCTATCGGCAATTTTTATTGTCACGAACCTCAAGCTCGTAACATTATTATTATTATTATGACTAGTTATTTTTTATATTCTCCTGACTGTTGACGCATTTAACTTATGGACTGATTGGACAGCGGCAAAGTTGATAAACTGTTTTTTCTTAGTTGTGACGTACGACAGGCCCCACAGAAAGATATGGAGTCTATAATTTATTTTAAAAATAAAAAATAAACATTTACAAGTAAAAATACGAATGTTCCAATATCAAATTTCACTCCACGTTTTTTTCGAGCTAAAGTTGGACCGCTGTGTATGTTTCAAGGGATGAAGGACAGAGAGGTAACTGGGCTCATCACTCTTTTTTATTATAGAACAAGGTTAATAACGAGCACACAGTCCACCTGATGGTAAGTGGATACTGTGGCTCATAGACATTTATATTTATCCACAATTAAGAACCAAAATGCGTTGTCACCCCTAAAGGCTAAACACAAAAAGGAAACACAGCAGCTTTAAGCTACTATTTTAAGCTGGTATTCTGTGAGAGCGTGTTCCTTCCCCGGTCGAGCCGACCCATTCGTGCTACAACTATACTACTAATATAGCTGCAACATGGCTCTATCACGTAAAAATATTTGAGATTAGAATAAAATGATCTTGAGACAATATAGATTATTACATAATACTTAATTGAAAATCATTGTCAACAGACTTCAAAAAGGTGGAGAGTCTCAACTCGACTTTATTTTTTATGTGTACTACCCCAGATTTTTTTTATAAGAGAACCAATATTAATGACTTTGTTTATTTGAAACTTGGCCCCATATAAATTCGATCAAGATCTGAGCTGTAGTTTTAGAGTTACCCTTAATAAAGCGTATTTAATTGACTTCGACTACATTGATGATTTTCTCATTTTATATATATTGAAGTCATTCGTAGAAAAATTTGAACTTTACCACTTATTTTATTAACTATTGGTTAGAAAAATACCTCCAATCTGGTAAAAACCGGCAAGAAAACCAGCAGGATAATTTTAGAGGATACTTAAGATATTTTATTGCTTAGAATAGAGATGCGTGTGTCAGGACTTAATTAAAAATCTTCTCAACGCTCCCATATCGACCTACGGGTGTCGTGAGTGGCATAAGAAGAAAACTCAGTCAGGAGATTGATAGCAGGACCTGAAGTAAAATTTTTAATATGTGGCAAAATCTCTTCTACAAGGCTTTTAAAAAAAATATAATCTTCTCGTCAAAATAATACCTTAAAGACCACTTTTTTCATGGTAGCACACATCAAGAACTTCTGACTCAATCCAAAATGGCGTGACGAAAGCCATAAACACGATAAAAAATAAATTGGGAATCCGTAAATACCTATTCTCTTCCAGATGTACAGGAGTATATTAGTGCTGGTGCTGTTGGGACTGTGTCGTGGTCAGTTTGGACGTCCTGAGAACCAGCTACAGGGAACTGATTTCGGTGAGCTTATGCAGTGAAAACTTCTTTATAATTGTTGTGATTGTTGTGATTATCGACTCAATGAAACGTTTAAGCGATACTAAAAAGAGACAACTATACACATCTATAGGATTTAGCCTGCGAGTGAATGAGATAGAACCTAGCGTCCAAAATACGTACTAACTTGTGAGTCAATCAATTTTTGTTCGATGAAATGACTTTGTCTATCGAATGAAATAGATGGCGCTATTACAAAGCAATTTTACTTGAAACAAAATATTAATTTGATTTATTAACCCGTATGTGCTCAACTTTTTTTTCTCGTAAAAGCTGGTATTTTTTTGTTCTATTATAAGTCCAATTAGCGTTAAAATAAGGTTTTCTGAAAATTAAATAATAAAAAATGAACCGTTTTGGACATTTTCACCGCCCCAATTTTGGGGCGCTGAGCACGGTAGACAACGTTCATAACAACTCCTCAAATTTTTCAATTTTAATTAATTTAAAGAGTAATATTAATATAATAATTATTATAGAGGTTGTAAAGAAATTTTTATTATATTTAAAGAATATTTATTATATAATAGTGCTTATACTACCGGTATTTATCATATATTTAGGAATGGAAAATTTCAAAACAATTAGTATGACAGCCGACATCACATTTTCGGCATATTTTCGTAGTATTTTTATGGCATTCGGCACAACGTATCTGAGTTGCACTAGAAATAATTAAATGGTCAGCTCCATCTGGACGTACATCATCTGGCACCCTCCTTTTCCTAGACGGCTTCATAGGACGGCCTAAAGAGCGAGCCGACGCATATCTTCGTAGATAAGTTGTAACCACAGACCTGATAAAGGCTAGGAAATCAAGATGCCCTTTCTCTTGCCCAGCTGGTGAGAGCCTGTACAACTGAAAAGCGTTAATCATTGAAGCGTTCAAGGGGCACATCAGAAGTTACCAATACCATTTTTTTATTTATGCTAATGCGGTAGCAGCCTATGTTTTGATGTAGACGATCTACTCCACCCATATATTGATTAAACATTTGAACACAAAAGGGCTGTTGAATCGAGATTTTTTTTCTTTCAGCACTTGACCATCGCTGTGCGAATCCAACCGGAGAATCACCTTCACAGGTAGAAGCTACGGTAACAACGTTATTGTCGTTGTATCGCACTGGAGCACGCCTGATATTTCATCGATGATTTGATCATAGCTCCCACGCTGTTTTTTCTTTATGTCAGCGATTGATTCCAGAGGCGCATATTCGACCCTATTGGCCCGTATTGTTCCTGTCCCCTGGTGACCAATATCTTTCAAAGCGATGAGCAATCTAAACGATGTAAAAAAATTGTCTATGTAAACATGAACTGGGAAATCTGTAGGCAATTTGGCCACCAAATTCATAATGACAGATCCTCCAACACCTAAATCGGGATTAGTGTTGCCTGTGCTAGCCCCTTGATAAGGTATGGCTTGTATAAGATATCCTAGCCGTGTAACGGAATCATTAATTCGTCGATGCTAACTTCGTTATACTGAGGCCAATACTTCATCCATTTTTCTTTTAGTTTCTCCCATAAAGGTCGCACTTTTGTGAACTTGTCCTGGACATCTAAAGCTGCGTTATCGGAAACGTGCATAAATCGAAGTATTTGTTCAAATCGAGATCGAGATTTTGCATTAGTTCCGCCAGGGTGATAGGTATCGATTCCAGTATCCCAGTACATGCGGTTCCTTGCTCGAACGTTATATCCACTTAGCAAAAGTATTGCTAAGACGAGGCGAATTTCTTCTTTGGTAACATCAAAATGTTTACCTTCGAAAACCGCATACCTTCTTGAATTTTCTACAAACAAATTCACAACGTCGTCATCGTAAAATAATTCAAAAAATTCAGTAGGCGACCTATTAGTGTCTACAAACTCGGGACGATGACATTCCCTTCTTTGATATTCGGGTAAATCTGATTTTTTTCCACTTTCTTTTCCCTATGATCTTCTTTTTTCTTTTTGGCGCAGAAGTGAATGCGATCTCCGATAGGGGTCCGTTGTCGTCATCACTCGACTCCAATCCTATAAATTCTGTTTGTAATAGTGAACCCGATTTGCGCACACATTCAAGCTGCGCCTCGGCTCGTAGTTGGTTGCCTGTCAGGTGATTGATATCACCTACAAGCGCATCTTCCCATCACTATTGCAGTCACTCAACATATGGTTGCTAGGCGGGCATGTGTAGATAGTGCCCTCAACAATGTCATCTTCTGTCTCTAATATGTCAATAATTTCTGCCAAACTCAACCTAAAACAACAAAATAAATATATACATATAACATATAAAGTTCCAATATAACTGGCAGTAGCTATAAACAATGTAAATAAAATATAACGCATATACCATGAAATTTGAAATCAACATGCAAGTACGCGACCAGCGCCCCAATAATGGGGCGCTATAAATAATGCCTCTAAAAAACTAATTCTCAACAGAAAGAATCGATTTTTATCACAAAACTAACCAAGTGTAAACCAATACATATAACAAACTGCTTTACACAGTTTTACTTATGAAAAAAATAATAATAAACTTACTTTTTACTTCTCGCCATCGTAAACACCACACTTGCACTTTTTATTTTTCCAAAAGTTAAAGAAAAAATGCGCCAACACTTTGAAAAACGTCACTTTTATGATGGTAAAGTGTAAACAAAGCGAACAGTACCATTCAAAAATCAAACCACAGTTTTAGGTTGCCACAGGTAATAAATAACGTGCCATTTTAAAAATGGGGCGGTGAGCACTTATGGGTTAAACTAAATTTAGGTCTACATGTTCAAAATTTAGAATTGTAGCATTTATATTATATTTAATGCCGCAGCCCGCAGTTGAAAATTATTTTATGGGATAAATCATTTACCGCTAAATTTATATTATGTGTATTTTATATTTCTCTCATTTGAAGGTTTCACTTCTACCGCGTGTGAACATCACACATGTTTTTTATTACTATTTCCCCTAAACTGAACTTTCGGACACAGCGCTCGGACTCAGCGTAGACTACCGCCCACCATCATTCACCATCTGCGCGGGATAAGATGTGTGCGCAAGCACCTGTGCACTCTGTCTTCAATCCACCAATGAAATATTTATTTGCAATTTTAACTGTTAATTCACCACGAAACGTTACGAGGAAACCTTCATGTCTGAAAATTATTAAAAAAATTCAAATAAATTTGAAGTCTTTCCTATACGAATTCCTTGCCCTGAAACCCTCTCAGAAATGAGAGAAGGCCTGCGCCTGACAGTGTGAAATATTAGACTGTAACTTTATTTTTCAATTTGACTTTTTAAATAAATTAATTTTTATTTACCTTTATGTTCCGATCTTACAAATAAACTGTCAAACATATCAATGTAAATTTTGATAATTCGCAAGTAGAGACTGTTAATACGTTTAAACTACTATAGGTATCAATATTGACATTCATCTTAATTGGAAAGCTCATATTGAATTCGTAAAATCTAAATTATCCAAGTTCACTTAAGCCCTTTTTAATAGAAATTCAGCACCATTAAAAGGACAGCATTATCTGCGTACTATGCATATTTTAAGTCATGGTTACGAAACATAATCATGCTATGGAGCAACATTACAATCATAAATGACCTAATAATCATTCAAAATGTAGTGTAGTGCTCCCACGTTAATATACTTTAGTGTTAAGCTAGAATAATGAGGCAGTCTAACTAAAGTTTTAGTACCAACCACACGTCTCCTTCATTGACACCTTTCCTATATTACATGGCGACCCGCGCCGGGCCAAGTTAAAAGGTGGGAAGAAAAAAAAAACTTAATTAAATAATGAAGATAAAAAAATTATATACGAAACGGATGCAATACCGGATTTGACAATAATAAATAAGCCGCCGTGACTGAAATTCGGTCTGGAGGACATTACATACATTACGTCAAGGCACTCGGACCACGCTTTGCCCAAAAATATAGGTATAAATGGAAATTTGTGAAACAAGTGATAGGTGGAAAGCACATTGGACACACAATCACAAACTAAATATCAATAACATGCTAGATATTCGTTCCACGATTGAAAAGGGAAAGAAGTAGTTGTATTCTAGCGGGCATCACCCAGAAGGATGTGAAAATTGAGCCGAAAAGAATAAAGAAGAATTTGAGAGGTAAATTCGCACCTGTGTGATTTTTAAGGGTTAATTCCATTTAAAATTTTAATAATTTGAGTTTTTTAATGTTGTTTTTGCTTCAAAAAAAAGTTATGCATAACATTTTCCGTATTTAAAATATGATTAAATTGAAAGTATTTATCAGATAACTCACAATTTAATTTTTGTTAAATATTTATATATTACTGAAAAAATAAGCACAATGCAATAATTATAAATTAATCAATAATCTAGCACTTGATTTTATAGTCAATTTTATTCATTTATAGTTTTATATTATTTTTATTACTGTGTCATAACAAAATGATTAAGGATAAATAATATTGTAAATTTTCGTGAAAATCAAAACATAATTTTATGTTACACATAAATATGCCTGATTATGTCAATACTGTGACTATGCATTTTTGCGTGCTAGATACGAGTATGTCTTATATTATAGTTTTCATAATGATATTAACCTTTTTTAGAATAATCTTAAGGATCTATTTTAGGAATTGATAAAAAAATATAGATAGCATATTTTTTTATTCTTTTGTCGGTGGGAGGTGTAGTGTAGTGCTCCCACGTAAATATACTTTAGTGTTAAGGTAGAATAATGAGGCAGTCTAATTAAAGTTTTAGTACCAACCACACGACTCCTTCATTGACACCTTTCTTATATATGTGTGAGAATTATTGCTAAAATAGATAATACAGTAAGTTACAAGACACACTTATTAAAATATGATCTGCTAACTTTAATATCTCTATAAATTTTAGATTACTATACATATATATAATACATTAACATTATATAACCTTTTTTTTTTTTCAAAACAATAGAAACATAAACAATCAAGCGAAATAAACAACTACTTAACTTACCCTCTCGAATAACAATGCTAAATTGCAGCCCATAATATATGCCGGCTAAAAATCTCAATTATTTTGATGATTTGTGTGCGTGCTTGCGTGCGTGCGTGCTTGTGCGTGTGTGCGTGTGTGTGCGTGTGTGTGTGCGTGTGTGTGTGTGTGTGTGCGCGTGCGCGCGTGCGTGCGTGCGTGCGTGCGTGCGTGCGCGCGTGCGTGCGCGCGTGCGTTCGTGCGTGCGTGTGTGCGTGCGTGCGTGCGTGCGTGCGTGCGTGCGTGCGTGCGTGCGTGCGTGCGTGCGTTCGTGCGTGCGTGCGTGCGTTCGTGCGTGCGTGGCATCTTTTCTGTTAATTTAAACCGAATCGGCAGATTCAGAGAAAGACTCAAAAAATCGAGTTTTTATTTTATTTTTAGAAATTGTTTTCTTGAAATTTCTTGGATACCCTTGTTTTGATAAATTCTATAATTTAGTTATCTCTTCTACTTCAAAAACTAGGTCAATGGCCGTGAACTGCATCAATTTCGCTTGATTCGTTCGAGTGACATCATTGTCTAGAAAAATCTCGAAAAAGTGTTTTTTTTTTAATTACTTGATAAGGTTTCGTCAAATCAATTTTTTTGTGATAAATGTCTTTGTTAAGTTCAAAAAAACTGCCTCGATTGCTGCAACAACATCAAATTAAAAAAAACTTGAAGAACTCAAAATCGTCCTAACAGGTGAAATTTGAAACGCTTTGCATTTGAAATTAGCGGGTATTTGCAGGACCGACGTATAGAGTCAACCGTATTCTTAAACTTTCACTCACTCTCCAAACAATATTTTTTTATATTTGGGGGCGAGATTTTTCTCCAAATTTATATGTTACAACCCCTGAAGCCTTTTTATTATAACCTAAATGGATAAAAGAGAATCGAAAAAGTTGTGGTGTTAAAATCTACAACACCACAACTTTTTCGGCAACCAGAGCGGCGCCATTATCGAATGAATTCTATTTGACGAATTTTATGTAGGAAAAGTTAAATTATTAAGTTCAGTGTTTCTTTCTGAAACAGTTGTTAGTCATATTTTATATTAGTTAGATAAAAATTCCAAAATGCGGATGTTCCTAAAAGTAAAAAAATTAAAAAAAGAGTAATCACTGAAGCAGTGTTTTGTGTATAAACCTTTATAACTATATATACAATAGAAACCGTATAACTTTTATTTGAAACGCAACTTTTTACTTATGATGAGGCCCAACCAGCGACATCTGGTGAACGTTAAATTATTACCTCTCATTGACGAAGATTTCCGAAAAGATATCTATTTTGAAGTCGGATAAAATTAGCTGATTCCGTGTTCTTAAAACTTTAATAACTTTATATTAAATGGACATATCGCAATAATTTATTTTTAGATAAGGGACAAGTGTCTAAAAATAAAACGTAGAAAACTTAATTGAAGTTTATCCAACAGTTTTCCCGGGATGCGCGCACAACTGCAAACCTCAAATATAATACTTTTTGAAAGTAATTTTTTGTTTATATTTAATAAGAAAACTAACATCTAGATGGTGATGGCAAGCAGGACTTATCCAAACGGTTTCGAGAGATATTTGGCAAACCACCAGATATTATAGCTACTACAGCAACGTCTGCAGAAAAAACGCGAGGCGAGAATTCAGGTGGGTGTTCAATTGTAATAATAATAATAACTTTTATTTGCGTAGTAATTTTTAATATGTTTCTAACGGATAATTGATTTATTTTGTTGTACACAAAATTAAATAATTTATAAATACTTCTTTTATTGCCATTGGAATATTACTTATTAATTCAAACTTTTGGGTAATCACATTGCTTAGTGTGTTATCTTTTTTTACTATTTATGGGGAAACGAGCTTACTGTCTACCCGATGGTAAGTGGATTCTGTAGTCCATAGACGTTTATCCTTCCTTAGGAATCAAAATGCAGATCCGTTGTCACCCCTAAGGAGTAAGATAGAATGTTTCGTTTTCAGTAAATGAGGTAGTCACTTAACATCAGGTGGACCGTATACTCGTTTGCCTCCTCTTCTATAAAAAGGGACTCTACACTCTCTGTACGAAATACAGCAGCGTTAAGCTGCTGCGAAAGGAAGGAGGTAAATTAGCAATTTTACCTCCTTCCTTTCGCGGTCCTTCCCCTGTCTAACTGACCCATTCGTACTACAACTACACTACTAATACGTAAAAAAATAAAACTAAGCTGTAAATGAACTATAAAATACACTATACCTAATTTACTTTACTCCTTGATGTACTTACAATAAACATTTTGTATCTGTAAACAGTCAGCTGATGGGATGTTGCATATTAAGTCATTTTTTTTGTAATTTTTAACCGGTCATTTTTTTAAATATTTAAAATTATTTTAATTTTTTAAATTATTTTAAATTTCGATAATTATGTCAGATGATGATTCATTTTACTGTGCACATGACTCAGTTTCGTTTCCCTCTTGTAGTGATCTCACACGGGATGGCATGAAGTCTCTTCTTGAGAAATTAAATAGTGTTTTTTTGCTTTGTAATAAACATCTTGACGTTTGTCATATAAAAAAGCACAAATCATTTTTCAGATTTTCGAAGTAACTTTTTCACAAGATTGCATCCACGCTACTTTAATGTCGAATAGCTGATTGAAATCGTCTACAAAGTCTAGTTTATATCCTTTAGGTAATTTTGTGCTTATTCGCAATGACAGGATTGAAAAAAAACGGTGGCGATGTTGCCATATATCTGAGAACTACAATTCCTTACAAGGTTGTCTTAGATTCTCCCTGTAGTTTGACATTCAGGCTCCTCGGAGTATTAATTTCTTGAAATTGACATCAAGGGCTTCACGGCTCTAGAAACAGTCGTCGATACCGTTGGGTATGCATTGGGGATGCACAAGAGAATAAAATATATCTATATTTATCGTATCAATGTTTTTAATCAGTATCGATATATATCGCGTGGTTAATTGATATTTTTTCAATATATCGATAAATAGTCATGTTTTGCATGATTTAGTTGGTAGGATAAGGCCAAAAATGGTTGGACAACGCAAAAAAAAAAACAACAACAGAACATGAAAACTTTTGTAGCTACTTTTGTTGCTTGATAAAATATTAAGCAACAAAAGTAAAGTAGTCCATATAAGATATTAAAATATATCGAAATCGTTAGAAATTTGATATTCCAAAAAAAATATTCTTAAACTGTCACTGCACGGACTTCTATAAAAAAGTATTTTCCTTAAAAATGATTTGTGATTCGTTTTCTTATGTTTTGATGGTATCGACAACAACACATTGAATTGGTTAAAAAATGTTCTGAGCCCCAATGATACGCAGATAAGCACCGAAAGTTTTGTGAAGACCTCCGTTCCTGTAACACCTACTATAGACAACTCCACGGGTAAGCTTATGAGGACATCAGATTTCCACTCTGATCCTGATCTAAAAGGGGACTTTGAAGGTATTATGACATTAATAAAGAAGTTTTGTGGCCCACTACAGATTTTAAAGTTTAGTTTTATGGTACTAAAACATATAAAAAAGAAATCAATTTAATAAAGTAAACGGGCTAAAAGTTATAATATGAAGTCTTCCCGCAATCGTGTAAACCGTGTACGAAGCATTTTTGCAGTTTTTATGAAATTAAAAAAAACTTGTTTTACTACAGTACATTGTGGTAATAACATAAGTTACTTTAAAGTAAACAGTCACACCACTGGAACTTGTTTTCGATGCTATTTTATTAGTGTTTGCTTAAGTGAAAATGAAACGGAACGTACCTAGTAAATCCGCCATTTTGTTATTATTTTGTTCGTAGAATAAATATACATATACTATCGCAAAATAAATATTGTTTAAATAACATGAACTTAAAACGGTGGCGATGTTGCCATATATCTGAGAACTACAATTCCTTACAAGGTTGTCTTAGATTCTCCCTGTAGTTTCACATTCAGGCTCCTCGGAGTATTAATTTATTGAAATTGACATCAAGGTCATTATGGCGATTCGATGGGTAGTGTACTGTCCTCCTGATGTAGCCTACTTCACGGCTCTAGAAACAGCCCTCGATACCGTCGGGTATGCATTAGGAATCCGCAAGTGAATAAAATATATCTATATTTATCGTGTCGATCTATTTTTAATAGTATCGATATATATCGCGTGGTTAATTGATATTTTTTCAATATATCGATAAATCGTCATGTTTTGCATGATATAGTAGGATAAGGCCAAAAATGGTTGGACGACGCAAAAAATATGACAACAGCACATGAAAGCTTTTGTAGCAACAAAAGTAAAGTAGTCCATTAATATAAGATATTAAAATATATCGCAATTGTTACAAATTTGATACTCCAATATAAATATCGAATATCGATATATCGCGATTGAAAAATATCGAAGATATATATCGATATTCTTATGAGAAAATATTAATACTTCGACATATCTATAATTTTACCAAGCCTAGTCTGGATATATGCACTGTATTATTATGGAGGGACAGCCACTCATCATTATATTAACACAGATGATTCATGGATAGATCACATAATTACATCTTCTCTTGACCGTGTGGGCACGCATGGACAGCTTTCAGTGCCTTGTTATTCACACTACGATCTAATATAAACAGAATTAAACTATTCCTTATATATTGCATTTACACAATGTCTGGCCTAAATATTGACCAACTCCTCCTGACGACGGACCTGGTTTTCTTTGATTCAGCTCAATTGGTGGCAGCTTCTTCAATAGATGACAAACTTTCCTTTTTGAACACCGTTATTTTGAATCTCCATAGCGTCCAAGCGCCAGTTCATCAAGTAAGTCTAAGGCGTCCTCCTGCCCTTTGGGACCAAAGGCGTACAGGTGGCAATGATCAGACGAGATCGGGTATTTCAGAATACAAAAGAGCACGTACAGAAGAAAACTAGTCTAACTTTAAATTGCTAAAGTACAGATACAATCATATGGTACAAAATGAAAAACTCTGTTACATTCATGATCATTTAACCAACAGTACTGCTGATATGTGGAAATTCTTAAAATCTCTTGGTATTTTTAAGCCACTGTCATCTGATAATAATTCTCTTAATCTGGGTGATATAAATTGTGATTACGTCTCAACTCCTACGTTGGACCCTTTTGTGAAATCTCAAACCATTGCTTCTATTGCTTTTATGCAACTTCGAACTATTCCATTTCTGTAACTCAAGATGAAGTAGTTAAAGCTGTATTAGTTCCTTGGCTTAGGTTGTGATGAGATCAGTAAATTTATGATCATTATATTGCTTCACTTCCTTCTGCTAGTTATCACACATGTTATTAATTACTCATTGGATTCAGATTAGTAACCAACATTATGAAAAAGGGCTTATATACGTCCTCTCCCAAAAATACCCAATCCAGAACTAATAAATCATCATTGTCCAATTTTTATTCCTCCATATCTCTCTAATGTTCTAGCATGTCTTCCTGCAAGCCTGTGTGCATAAGCAATTATCTATTTTCATTAAAAAATATAACCTACTGGATATCTTTCAGTCAGAGTTTCGCTCTCATCACAGTACGGCCACTGTACTTATTAAGATTACAGATGACAGAAAAGGTATGGATGAACTGAATGTTACAGTGGTCACGCTTGTTAACTTTTCAAATGGTTTTAACACAGTCCGCCACGATACCCCCCTATCTATTTTTACTTATCTCAGATTCTCATCTTCAACCTTAGAGTGGTTATTATCCTATCTTCGCAGTCGTCAACAGATGGTTACGTCAGGGGTACAGTTTTCTGAATGAGCTGACATTGCAGCTGGCGTACCGCAAGGCGGTATATTATTTCCAGTATTGTTTTCGCTATTTATAAGCTCAATATCTAATAACTTCAGTTGCTCATACTATATGTATGCTGATGACATTCGGCCATATGGACAATCCACCAATTCCGATAATATAAAGGATGAAATCGGAAAACTATGTACGAACTTAGAAGCCATCCGTGTCTGGTTACGTAGATTTGGTGTTTCGGTAAATCCCTCAAAATCTAAAGCAATATCGACTATAGAAACCTTGAACTAGTTTTATACAATTGAATTTAATTCCATTTTCTCATTCCATAGTTAATTTGAACTAGAGAGTACAGATCTCGGAAATTAGTTGTAAAGTTATGGCCGCTCTACGTTGCCTTTATCATGGTTTTCTTTAAAAATCATGGTGATAATGGCAGGCGGTCCGGTCACCGCAGCCTTTCCTTATTTCGAGTCGTTGTCAGGAAGATGCTTCTTCCATATTCCGGTTTTACTTCTGTCGCCTCTCACGACTCCCACGGGATGATATACGATGGATATTCTTACACCGTCACTGCACGGACTTCTATAAAAAAAGTATTTTCCTTAAAAATGATTTTTTCAAAATTCGTTTTCTTATGTTTTGAAGGTATCGACAACAACACATTGAATTGGTTAAAAAATGTCATGAGCCTACATGATACGCAGATAAGCACCGAAAGTTCTGCGAAGACCTCCGTTCCTGTAACACCTACTATAGACAACTCCACGGGTAAGCTTATGAGCAAATAAGATTTCCACTCTGATCCTGATCTAAGAGGGGACTTTGAAGGTATTATGACATTAATAA